ACGAGATCTTCGATTCTCATTTAGATCACTAAGGCTAAATATTGCTCTAACGTAAATTTCACTTTTTACGTCATTCAGCGTTGTCGGTTCTGTCGCGAAACTTCGACAGGTCACAACTTCTTCATTATAACTCAGATTTCGGCATTCTTTATATCTTCGGAAACCTCGTTTCAACTACTACAACATTATCCAAAGATATCAAGTTTTTTTTACACTTAAATTTCGATGCTTATTTTTATTCTTAATTAATCAAACCACATAATTAAGCAATTAAGCACAAAACACATAATGCTCAAATAATACACTTCTATTATTTCAAAACGGGTTACAAAGGTTAACCTAGACTATTATATCATCATTAATGATAGGCCTGGGAACACAGGCGTTACATGAAGGTGTGTCGGAATCCCTCAAACCAAGGCTCTAATACCAACTTGTAACATCCCAAAAATTCAGACCAACAATTTCATTTTTAAATTAAACAACTATAAGTCGATTTATAGAAAACATCATCAAGTTATTTCATTCCATAAAAATCATAGATCATATGTCTCCAAATCATGTCATAAGATAGTAACAATGCCATATACAAATCCTAAGAATCTCATATGCAGAAAATCATGTGTGTGTGATGCGTTGCTACCGTTCCAACTCGTTTTCTTTTGCAGAAGAAGTACCTGAAACCAAAACTGAAAATCGTAAGCACAAAGCTTAGTGTGTTCCTACATCAAACCACATACCATGCATAGCACATACTGTCTAACATATCCGGGTAGTAACTACCTATTCGGTCTCTTTCAACTGGTAACTTGCCTAGCATATCATGGTGCTGGCCTACCCCTTCGGTCCTTTCGACCTATACGTGTCTAGCATATCAGGGTGCTAGCCTACCCCTTCGGTCCTTTTGACTGTTACTTGCCTAGCATATCAAGGTGCTGGCCTACCCTTCGGTCCTTTTGACCGGTACTTACCTAGCATATCAGGGTGCTGGTCTACCCTTTCGGTCCTTTCGACTGGTACCGGAGACTATTTCACCCCTCTACATTTACCACATAGCATCCTAGTGCGTAAACATATAAGTCATATATTGCCTAGCTCATCCGGGTGCTAGCATATCCCTTCGTCCCTATTGACCGGTACTAGGGTCTATCCTACCCCTCCTACCACCATCACATAACATCATAGCATACTAGTACATAAGCATAGAAAATAGTAACATACCAGATAATTATCACAAAGACAATCATCTCTACTATAGCTCTTACTAGTAGGCCAACATTGGTGCCTTCGATCCATTTCTACTGGAAGGTAACTCACCTCAATGTCGTGTAGCAGTTGAGCTGTCCTCGGTGTTGGGATCAACTCCGCTCAAACTCCTACTCATAACAATCCCCCTTTAACTACCATTCCATACTCATAACCCTTTTAAGGGTCAACTCATATCAAAGTCAAAGTCATGGTCAACACCCTAGTCAAGGTTAACTTATGGTCAAGTCAACATCTGGTTGACTCAACTCACCGAGTTGGTTCATCAACTCGCCAAGTTCCATAATCCATAAATCCATGAAGTCTCGCACCTACTCGTCAAGTTCATCCTTATAACATAGTTGGGACCTTTTACCTACAACTCGTTGAGTTCCTCCTTGAACTTGTTGAGTTCTCCTTCATACAGAGTCGGGACATTTTTTTCATAACTCGCCAAGTTCCTCCTTGGACTCATCGAGTTCTTTAATCTTCAAGCTCAAAATACGTCCAACTTACTTACTCATCTCCTAGATTCATCGAGTTTACTCAGTAAGAAAAATGGTTGGGGGACCATGACCCGACTCATCGAGTCGTATGATCAACTTGTTGAGTCCCCCATATTCTAAATCCATACAGTCGTTTTTTAGTCGGGCTTAATGCATCCAAAACACAGATCTGGTTCCCTAGGGTCGATATATCATGTAAAGTTTCTAACTTTACGTGCATGCTTGGGTTATTTAACTCAAAAGCCCTAACAATTGGTTCATATGATGCATGAGACTCCCATGGCCATAAAGTTGGAACCTTTATGCCATGGAGTCCCTCAAAGACTTTGGATCTGAGGTTATTACCCCGAAGTGTGCTTACATCCATGAATGGTTCCATATTATGCTCCATGTGGCCCTAAACTACCCCATGAAGAGATCTAGTAAACAAATAGATAAGGTATAGACTTTATACCTCAAATGAACTGGAAATGAAGTTCTTCTTCTGGATCCAAAGCTCCTTCCTTCAACGAAGCACTTCTAGCTTCCACCGCTTCAAGAAAACACCAAAGAATCACTCCTTTTTCACTCACACACACTCACGAAGCTGAAGATCACGAATTAGGGTTTGTTGGACTATAAGAGGGGATGAGGGAGGCCATAATGGGGGTGTTAAGGTCTTTAAATAGGGTGCAAACCATGAAAATTAGGGTTTCACTATGGCAGCCCTACTCGTCGATTCGATGCTTCTCAACTCGTCGAGTAGACTTCAAGTGTTGTGTCCAAAAACCCCATTCCTACTCGACGAGTTTAGGGCCTCCAACTCGTCGAGTCCTTTTGCAAAAATGAATAATTCTTTATTAAAATACATACCAGGAACCGAGCATTACAAGCTGGAAATTTTGAGACTCTGAGGCATGGATTATGTGATGTGCCGATTCTGAATCTTCTAGAGGGTGTTGAGGACTTTGTGGTATAGTGTGATACATCGATCATAGTTTTGGGTGCAATATAGATGTAGAGGGGTCATGTGATCGCTTGCGCTTCGTGGCAGCTGAAGCCTCATGATATGAATTATCCTCCGCATGATTTGGAGTTGCAGGCTATGGTTTTTTCCTTCAAGAGTTTGCGACATTACCTCTATGTTGTTTATTGTACTATTTACACGAACCATAAGAGTCTGAGGTGTCTAATGGATTTGACCATTTATCCCGTCATCTTCATAGAAGGATTCTGGCTTACTATCAAGAAAATCCTGGTAAGCTTGATTACTTTCCTTTTTGCTTCCTTCTCCATGGTCACTCTAAGATTTCCTAATGCATCAAAGACGTGATGTTGAATCATAGTTTGGATGGCGGTTGGGTTAATTAGAGTTAGTATAGCAGGGTTGTTTTCCTAAAACAACAGATGAGAGGATTACTGGGTTTTACCTAAAGGGTCAATCCTATTTCTTATTTGTAGGGGACTTATAGTTTCTCTCTTAGCAACCTGTCCACTTATCCCTTTTATTATCATTTTCTAATTTGGATTTTTGAATTTTTGTTGATATCACATCTTTTGGTTGCCTTCCATGTAACCTTCTAATAATAGCATGCTATTGTTGCTTCCCTAGCAACTTACTTTTGTTTTCCTAGAAACTTACCATTGTTTCCCTTACAACTTACTAATCATAGCATGATGTCGTTTCTTTCCTAGTAACTTTCGATTGTTTCCCTAACAAAATATTGATCATATAATGTTGTTGTTACTTTCCTAGCAACTTCCTGTTGTTTCCCTAACAACATACTGATCATATCATGTCATTGTTGCTTTCCTAGCAACTTATCGTTGTTTTCCTAGCAACCTACTGATCGTCCTAAGGAAGTTCCTTTCTCATTGTCATAAATTTTGTCTCCTAAAGGCTTTTATTATTTTAAGGAATCCAGAGGGTGAAAATTGTCAGAAAGGAAAAATCTTGCTTGTGCACATTGGGTACATGATCTGCACGTCGTGAACGGACAACAAATAAACATTAAAGTCGATTTTTGGCTTCGTTTGAACATTCATTCTGCTTTGTCGCTATCGGGATCCACACGCTCGAAGAATGCTTGATGCGCCTACTTCCTTTATTCTATCTGTTCACTACATTTGATCAATCTACTACTAGGTAATCTTTACGCTAAATCCTAACCCAAATTGTGGCCTAAATTTCGAACTTTTAAGGTTTTTAGAGGATTTTATCAATTTAGGATTTTGGTTGTATATTGTGAAATTAATGAGTAATATAGCCTCATATACTATCGATTTTACTTTATACATACTCAATTTTGGGTTTAGTTCATCTATTAATTCTCATTTTGAGTTTTTAAAATTTTGAATATTTTAAACTAAAATCGGAATTTAATGTTATTTTCGACGAAATGAGAAACCTATACGTGTTCTACAAGACTAACCGAACATCCCTAAATGAATTATAGGTTGAAATTGGAGAAAATAACATGTTGGCATGCTTGCTGTTCTTTGTGTTCTTGGGGCGCGTTGCACAAATGTGTGTGTGCGGTGTGCACTCACATGCAGCACGCACCTAGCGCGTCTGCCATATCTTATCTCGTTTTATTTTAAGTTATCCTAATGTTTATTCCAACTATTTCCTTGCCTTAATTTGCTAAATATATGTCAAGACGAGGTCGACCGGCTGCTGGTCAGTTACCTCCTAACTGGCTAACACATCCTTTCTTATAGTTCTCCGATGACCTTCCTGATCGGGGTACTTTCAACTCTCACCTCATTTCCCTTCTGTCCAAGAAGATCAACATTCCACAAGCTCTTTCTGAGAATGTGGTAGATGACAGTGGCTTGTCTGCTTAATTAGCACCATTTCTCACCTGATCAGTTCGGGATGATAACGGTATCGAACTTTTCGTCTGTCACGGATGTCGACGAGTTATTAGGATTCAGGAGGTGATCTATCAGGATATCTACTAGGAGTTATTTTTAGCATTCAGCTTCGAAACGGAGTTGAAGCTCTGGGCTGATCAATAAGTTTTTTCTTTTTTCCTGGGAGACGTATCTCAGTCATGTAACCTCATCGAGCTGGGGTGGCTTCTAGGGATTTATACTATTGTGGAGACTCTAATCCCTCATTTTTATGCATTTTTGGATAGTTGTATCACTACCCCTCCACAGGAGTATGACTTAATGCATCTTTGGGCTCATGCTCGGGGGACCTATGTCTCACGGGTGTCCAAGGAGAGCGCCTTCCATTCTCCTATCTATCAGTTGCTTCACCGAATGGTCGCATCCACCATTTTTCATAGACAAGAGTGTGACAAGGATCCTTCTAGATACCTCTTCTATATGTGGTGCCTTATTCAGACGGAGGTTCGTCTTCACCTTCCTTTCTTCGTTGCTCTTTACCTGCCTATTATGGCTCTAGGTATCACATCATCGAGTAGGATTTGCATGGGCCACTGGTTACTAGGCTAGCCCTATCCTATGGGGTTAACACCCGTGTGATGGTTCCTATACCTATCTGGGAGCTGAGTACTACCACTCTCGGAAAGCTTTGGGTTTTGATAAGGGAGGCAGGGTAGCCTTGGAGGATACCATAGAATAACATCATGGAGCCGATTTGGTAGGTGGAGCTGAAGGTCATTCATGAGCCTACCTTTGTGACACATCAAATACCTAGGCATGTAGAGCTTGATTTTCCGGAGCCTACTCTTGGTGATGTGATGTATCATCTTGTTGTTACATGGGAGGAGCATCGTTGGATTACGGCTTCGCTTATCAGGGTGATGTGTCTTCTGGGGATAGACCATACAGCCTTTGCTAGTGCGGATCCCTTTGTACCACCTCCTCCTCAGCCATGGAGCACTAGTTACAATGGTACTGGTCCTTCAGGCACTCATCCTCGAGACACTGATGAAGATGACAACGATGATGATGACGATGACGAGACCGAGACGGAGTTGAAGGGAGGTGAGAGAAGATTTGTGAGTTTTATTTTTGTATTCTGATGCTTAATGATGCATTCTGACATATTTTATTTGGTTCAGGATTTATATATTTATGGTTTTTATGTTTCATTTGCTTATCCAATTCAGATGTTGTATTGATTCAACCAAGATGTAACACCCCATTTCTGGTACGTGATTTAAATAAAGTAATTTTCATTTCTTAAGGGGTACTCAACGAGTCAGTAGCCCGACTCGTCGAGTAGAGACGGGATTTGCACACGATTTAAGTGGGCGACTCGACGAGTCCATATTCTTGGACTCGGTGAGTCCGCCAGTCTGGATGAAACCCTATCTATGCGCCCAAAATCAGCTTCCATCACCCTCAGAATGTCCCTTACTAGACCATAGCTTTCCTTTAAGAATTATTGGAGTATTTCTCACATTGTGAAGGATTTTGGTGCAATTTGGAGTTAGAAGAAGAAGAGAGAAGAGGGGTTTTCAATAAGAGCAAAGAAGATCTGAGTTTCTTGTGTCATTCCAGTTCCCATTGAGGTATAAAGCTCGAATATTTTCTTCTTATTATGTAGATCTCCTTAAAATCTTGATAGTGTTTTTCTTGAGCCATTTTCTAAACATTGATGTCGATTTAAGAGTAGTTAAGATGAATGGGCTTCAGATCTAAGCATTTCAGAACTCCTTAAGCTCAAGGTTGCCACCTTTATTGAGCTACATTCCCATTCCAAACCTAGATCTCCTCTTTTAGCTCATTATTGGGTATTTGAGCTTCTTACAAGCATACATGCACGTAAATTAGAAACTTTACGTGTGAAACTAGTCCTAGGAACCCAAATCTATGAATTGGATGCACTGGAATCGAGCAAAATCGACTGTATAGTAATGGCATGTTTAGGACTCGACGAATTGTTCTTCAGACTCGATGAGTCGAGTCGTGAGTCCCTAGTTTTTCCCACGTTTGAGAGTTTAGGGTGAATCAGTGAGTGGGAATGGACTCGGTAAGATAGAGCTCAAATCTAGTAATGGAGGGACATGTCGAGTCTACGCCCTGAATTGGTGAGTCCGGTCAACTGATAGTTGACTTTGATGAGGAAGTTGACTTTGACTAGGGGTAAAATAGTCATTTTATCCTGAGGGCAGTTATCAGTACCTGATCTAGTGTTTCTGGGATTTGTAGCCGGAGAGTTCCGGAGCAGCAGTCAGCCAGTTTCAGATTTAGCATCTTAGTAGCCAGCGTTACGAGGTGAGTCTTCCTTCTAGTAGGAACGGGTATACGGCTACAATGCTGGCCCGTTTAGTCAGCAGTAGTTCCGGACTTCGGTTCGACGCAGTAGTTCACTGTGCTTAAGGTCTTTGTGATTCAAGCATGTCTTTGTGTTATGTGTTCCAGATTTCGGTCCAATACCGTATGCCGTATATGTGTTTATGCTAGTAGTTATGATTATTCTATGCTATGTTCAGTCAGTTTCCAGACTTCGGTCCGATGTAGAGGGCAAGGCCCTGGTTAGTTCCGGAATTCGGTTTGATGCAGTTTTTGGAATACGGTATGATACAGAGGGCAAGGCCCTGGTTAGTTTCGGACTTTGGTCTGATGCAGAGGGCAAGGGCCTGGTTAGTTCCGAACTTCAGTCTGATGCAGTTTCCAGACTTTGGTCCGATGCAGTTTCCAGATTTCGGTCCGATGTAGCGGGCAAGGCCCAGTATTTGCTTAATGTGTTATTGTATTGTATGTGGTAGTTTGCGGGAGCTCACTAAGCTTTGTGCTTACAGTTTCAGTTTTGGTTTCAGTTACTTCCACTAGCAAGGGGAAGAGCCCGGGTTGATGGCATGGCACACACCACAATTGCAGTTTTACCCTGGGAGTTTTATTCAGATATTTTGATATGATATTGACTTCAGTTTTGAATTGATACGTTTACTATGGCATTTTGAGACATATAATTCATGGTTTTATTATATAACATTTGATGTTATGGTTTTTAGTAATATTAAAACAAAAAAAATTTTGGTTGTATTTTTGGGACGTTACAAGTCCGTATTAGAGCCTTGGTTTGAGAGATTCGGGCATGCTTTTGAGTGTGTATGAACTCAAACTAAGGAAATGGTCAAAAGATATTCAAAAGAGAAACATTTTCAAAAAGAATTTTTGTAAAGGAACTTAGAAAGTTTTTCTTAAAAAGACAAAAGGGTGTGGTGCATGCGATCAGCCGAGCTCAAGTAAGTACTCCCAAATTACACATACAAGTTTATGTTATCATTATCAATTTGAGTTTCAGTAGAACAACATGCTAGAATAGGACTAAGAATCTAGGAATGATGCCTTATGTGCCTGCTATGTGTGTTTCAGCTTTATAATAATTGCATGCTAGTTTTGAGTAGACAGTAGTAGGATAGCCTGTTTAGGTTATGCCTGATAGTATGAGCTTACGATTGAATGCTAGTACAGTTTCTCGTTATTAGAATAGATTTACTTGAGTAGTTCCTGTGTCCGAATGCTACTTGCTTTGTGCTTTGTAGGACTCTGGGTGATGAGAGTTAGCCATTAGGTGAATACGTCACGTCACATGTGATCATGGTTGAATAATCTCATAGTGTTGGATTTGGACCCATTGTGCAGCTCTTATCTGAGTATAACCGTTGTGGGGACAAGTCTTTTACTCGAAGGATTATCTGAGCCTTGTCACATGTGACGGTATTCAAGTGATAGCTAATTGGCATTACAAGGAGGCCTTCGACAACTGAGGACTGGTTTGGGTCGGAGATTTCCCTAGGGTAAACCTAGGATGAGAGTAGCAGAGATCAGTAGTAGTAGTAGTGACTTGGTGGAGTCAAGGCAGTTCTTGAGGAAAGTACGTATAAATGTGGAAGGTATTATGGGCCCGTACTACTTAAAGAAGAGGATCCGTACTTGAATCAAGGAACGCCGAGGAGAGACCAGGAAACCAGTAGTACTAGTGATCCCTTGAGATATATCAGTGCTTCTGACGTTTGATATGATGTGTTTTCAGAATGGTGGTTTTACGCCCTAGACCAGCAGGCGGCAGTTCAGGTGTCGGTGAGGGATCGGGATCAGGCTCGAGGACCGAGCATTTGGACGAGCAGACGAGGGAGTTTTTTCTCTTCAAAGATCACTCGTATCATACTTGAGCAGACCCCTGTGATCTTTGGTTCGATCAAGGAGGGTATTATGGAGCTGATGGATGTGAGGTTGAGCACATTCCTTGCTGAGGTGGCGACCATGATGGGGTCGCGCACACTCACTTTCAGGGAGTTCAGAGCTTGTGGTGCTCCTGACTACCATGGAGCACGAGACCCCATTGCAACTACTAGATGGTTGGCAGATGTCGTCAATGCATTCCGCACTAGCAGATGTCCCAATGGGGACAACATTAGACTAGCATCCTGTCTTCTGAAGGACAGGGTAAGCGATTGTTGGGTGGACATCGGGCATGTCATCGGGGATGATGCAACACTTGATGCGATGACTTGGGCTAATTTTACTACCAGGTTAAGAGCCAAGTTTGCACTGGTTATTGAGGTGCAACAGTTCGCCAGCGAGTTTCAGGATCTCACCCAGACTATAGAGACAGTGGCGGAGATTACCGCCATGTTTAGGGAGAGGGCTCTTCTTGTTCCTCAGTACGCAGCTGATGAGGAAATGAAGAAGGCCCGTTACCATGAGATGTTGCGGAGTGATATCCGCCAGTTTGTGAGCCAATCCAGCTGTAAAAAACTAGATGACATGATTGTTAGGGCTCGTGAGAGAGAAATTGATTTAGAGATGGAGAAGAAGAAGAAGCCAGAGGCGGCATCTGGCACAGGGAGTTCGGGCGAAAAGCCCAAGGTATCTGATCATAGATCCAGAGGAAAACAGAGCCGCAGTCAGTGTGGCAAGTGTGGGAGATTGCACGATGGGTCGTGCAAGGCAGGTAGTGCCGGTTGCTACAAGTACGGTCGGACCGGGCATATGAGTAGAGATTGTATAGCTACTAGCACCACCACAACATCTGATTTGATATGCTTCCATTTCAATTAGAGGGGACATAAAAAGTCCCAGTTTCCGATTTTGACAACAGCAGGGAAGGTGGTAGCACCTTCCCCTGCAACACTGAGGATTACAGACGGCCGTCAGGGCCGGAGCGAGGCGCCACTGGCGAAGAGTAGAGCTTTTTAGATGAAAACAGAGGAGGCATGATCGACTCCTGATGTGGTGATGGTTATGTATCTTCCTTTCATCTCTTTATTTGTTATGAATTGTTTCTTCAAGTTATATGTTTTATATAGGGTCGTTCTTAGTGAACGACATTTCAGCTATAGTCTTGTTTGATTCAGGGGCTACCCGATCATTTGTTTCAGTTGCACTTAGCAAGAGGTTTAGCAGAGCTCCGGGGGAGCTGGATTGTCCACTTGAGGTTGAGATAGATGATGACAGGACCGTTAGGGTCGCGAGAGTGCATAAGGGGTGTTCGCTTCGGTTATTGGATGAGCAATTTTCGGTAGACCTGGTTCCTATTCTTCTGCGAGGGAACAAAGTTTTAGTAGGCATGGATTGACTGAGTCCTAATGGGGCAGTGATTGATTGTGAACTGCAATTAGGGAGGGTTCACACTCCTAGTAGGGGAGAATTAGTGATTCAGGGTGAGAGGCCACAACGTGGACCGATTCTTTGTTCAGCAGTGAGAGCGAGGCGCTACTTTCAGCAAGGTTGTGTGGGGTTCGTCGCCTATGTATTAGATGCCCGGGAGAAGGGCAAGGAGACAGTCGATGATGTAGTGGTAGTGCGAGACTACCTGGACGTATTCCCGGAGGATTTTCGTGGGATACCCTCCAGATAAACAGGTAGAGTTCAGGATTGATCTAGTTCCTGGTGCAGCTCCGATAGACAAGGCACCATATCGGTTGGCTCCTCCAGAGATGAAGGAGTTGTCTACGCAGCTGTAGGAGCTGCTAGACAAGGGTTTTATTAGGCTGAGTAGTTCACCTTGGAGAGCCTCATTCCTGTTTGTGAGGAAGAAGGATGGGTCGCACCGTATGTGCATAGATTA